TGCCGTCAACGACATCTGGATTGCCAACCGGGACCTGTACCATTGGCCTGCTTTTGCTAACGTCCCGGCACTTGAAGGCCGCACGGTCAATTGGCTCCTTGATGACAATTGTGAGTGGAGGCGGGACCGCCTGGCCGAGCTCTTTGGCGAATCTTTAGTCCAACGCATCTTGCTGATTTCTACCAATGTGGACAATGGAACCGACCGTCCCAATCTTGTTCATTCCCCGTTGGCAATGACGATTACTGCAATGGCTTACAAGGTGCAATTTGCTGATTTGGAGTATCAATTTAACTGGATGCGGAAATTAAAACTCCACCCAAGAGAACACTTCTTCTGGTGGCGGCTCTTGCTGAATGCCCTCCCGACCAAATGTTGGCTCCTCCGCCGTGGCCTAACGGATTCTTCGGACTGCCCTTGGGGATGCCGTAATGAGGAGTCCTCGGAGCACATTCTTATCCATTGTGACCTGCTCAAACTCACTTTGACCGTCCTTAATAGATGGGGATTTACTATGCCTGAATTCCACTCCCTCGATGAGCTCATTGGTGGCCTGTACCATGCGGCCTCACATAATCCCAGCTTTGCTCGACTCTATTGTTACATAATTTACCAAATTTGGCGTGCCCGGAACGACAAGATCCATGGCCGACCGCACTGCACGCCGTCTGTGATTGCAGCCAATGCACTTGCTATGCTGCCGAAGCCTTACTTGATGCCTGTCCTTGAGCAATGGTGTACCTCTCGGCCCCTCGGGCTGTCTCCCAACAAACTTTGGTGCACCCCCCCTCCGGGTTGGGTGAAATTTAATGTCGACGCTTCGCTGCAGCAATCTTCTATTACCGGTCTTGGCGTGGTTGTCCGGGACCACTTGGGGCGCCTTGTGGTGGCCGCGGGAACTAGAGTTGAGCAATGGGACACTACTACGGCGGAAATCATGGCAGCTCTTTCTATCAAGGATCTTATTGAGCAATGGATGACCGAACTTGAGGGAATCATCATCGAGGGGGACTGCCGTAATGCTTTGCGGTGGCTCCAAGCCTCCTTTGATCGGCGGAACAAGATGCACCTCCAACCCGAGGGCCCCGACCTTACCTTCCTGCTGGACTTCAAGCAAGTGCTCTTTCAATATGTCCCTCGGCTTAGTAATGCTCCAGCCGACTACTGTGCTCGCATGGCCTGCTTTGGCAATTTTTGTTGGAAAAGTGATAATTGTAATATTCCTCCCTCTTTTTTGTCTTTATTAAGGGAGGATAGTGACCAAGCTTAATGCTCTTTGTATTTCTTGTACTTTTTCCTTATTTTCATTAATGCAAGTGCAACTATTC